CTATTGCTCAAGAAGTTGACTGCGATTGATTGAGAAAACATAAGGATGTTAAATACAAATTGCTTTGACCAAACTTACCTTTAACTCATTTGCCATTAGTTCATTGCTAGTATTTGGAATTCCCCACTTCAAAGCTATCTTTGCTATATGACATTTCTCCCACAACTTTACGACTGCTGCAGCCAAGCCTTGCAGTTTTCTGTTTCTCCCTTCATGTCATGTCATGAAAAATAAACTATCTCAAACAGGACAAATATAGTCATAGAGTTGCACAAGGTGCATAACCAATTGCATCAAAATGGGTGCTCAAAACTTTCATCAAATCATCCACGATAAAAAATGTCAAATAAATACAATTAGCTAATTTATTATTCATGTGCAGAAAAGACCTAACAACAGACGAGAGTGCACATGTATAGTGTTCTAGAGACAAGGGTGAATGGAGGGATCTGACTTGTTTCTCTTTAACCTCAAGAGGTGTAAAAGGTAGATCATTTTGATATATTTATCTACTATCTCCATGCAAATTTGACCATTTTAATTTCTAGGGGAAATTTGACCATTTTAATTCCTAGGGGCAATTTGACCAGATTTTGAGGGGAAAGCTGAGTTCAGGGAGTAAAACATAAACCAAATATAAACCTCTGAGAATTACATAAAAGCAACCCCAAGTCACAAACTTTTACATCAAGAATATGGAAGAATCAATATTTAAACAAGTCTTGTGTAAAGATGAATTTTGACCCTCATATGCGCAGAGTGGACAAAAGGAGTCCCTTATGACAAAAGGCACTACAAATTAAAAAAAATTTGCAAATGACAAGTACCGTCAAAGTTCTGATTAAGATATTCTGTTTTCTTTCACAAAAGGAACCCACTTTCCTAATTAGCTTATGATGTTACATGTCCACTTTTTAAATGTCTAGACAGTCAAACTCAGAAGAAGCATATACCACTGTTAATGCACCAACTGGCAATTTTTCTTTCTTGACATGAACATAAATGGCATAATACCACACGTACAAACATCATACAACAAGCAAACTACAGTTACATAACAGGAATATTCTCAATGATAAAGATGACTCAAGTCCAAATTATCAGTAGAGACACAGTATAGCAACCCACGATATACACAAGCAGGAAACATATGCAGAATAGAATTACTGGAGCATTTCGTCTGCACAAGATATGATCATCAAGATGAGAAACCTACCAAGAACAAAATGAGTTGGCAAAGAACGAGCAAGTTTCCTTAATTGTGTAAGTTCATCATCTGTCAGCTTTGATCTTGAACGTGGTGGGCAAAGTCTAAATGGTGGCTTAAATCCAGGAACTACTTCAGGAAGTAAATCCGCATTCACAGGCAAAGGCTTTGGCCACCACCAATCAACATAACGAGGTCCTAAGTCATCCAACAATCTATTAGCTTCCCTCACATAAAGTGACTCATTCATTGCTAGGCTATCCTCTTCTGAGTTTCCAACACTTATCATTTCATCTTCACTGCTCCCACTTGAGTTCAATGGTGAGAAAATACTTGTCTGTTTAATATTTTCAGTAAATGAAGAGTTCTGGTGACTACATAGAAAATCATGCTGTAGCTCCTTCTGTTGTAAAGTATAGCTACATCCTCTATAAACAACCAGAGCATTTTGCTTCATCCAAACAACAAAGCCTCCAGTCTTCATCTGCAGTACAAAAGGAATAACACACAATTCTATCAAAAAGGACAGAAACTTAACAAAGTAACCTCTACACTTATGAGAAATAACTACTAGAAACCATGTTAGTATTATTTAGGAACAATGAGCACTGGTTTATTAGATACAATAGAGAACTGAAACAACATAAAGAGGAGCATCCGAAAGGACAACTAGTCCCGTCATGCTTAATATAAACAGTAAGAGCGGTTTCCCTGAAAAAGGAAATAGGTCCAACGCGAAGTTACCAACTTGATCGATGGACTAGACTTGTTTGAGGATTCACAACTATGACCCCTTGAACGAACAAATCATAAGAATTTTGAATACAGAAACTGATTGCATGAAGCAAGCACTTTTACCAGCATCCAAGACAACTAAAAAACAGTTCTGGCAGTCCCAAAACCAAAGCCTGAAATCACTTTCTTCTTTTCCTAGATTAAAAAAAAAAGACTCAACTCAATCAAAGAGGGATTAGAAGTATTTTAAAACACTAACGGTAGTTTGATTTGATGTTAAGAGGAAATAGTCTCTCCAAGAATACTGCATTACTAGATGACATTCGTTAACATGAGAATTCTTGACAACGGATATTTGCTTGATAATGAAATCACACCGCAACTAAATACCATTATATATCTCAAACATACAAATATGTTATAGCAGGATCAGAAAACAAAATATAATAACATCAGAAAATGAAAAGGTACCTCTGCAAGTTCTTTTTACCGTACGAAGCACAAAATATAGAAAGCATATTTACGGACATATGATCATAGATAATACGGTTTTTATAGACAAACCTCGACAATTTCTCGAGCTCTGTCCATATTACGGCATAAAGGCAGGTCAAATTTGAGCATTGCAAGTTCATTATTCTTCCAAATAAAGTGGATTTGATCAACAACAGTTCGGGTAACTCCGGCTTTCTTAACCTTCACCCACTTCTGAATCCTTGCAGCCTCACCCCTCAATCTCTCAAGCAACATTGCATCAAGATTCGACTCTGCAGTCATGACAACTTTCTCCTTCTTCATTCTCCTATACACAATTCTCACCTCACTCTCCCAAGGCATTTTCACCCCAATTTTTCTACTCCCTCTTCCTTCCCCCTCTCTTGATAAAACACCAAATTCCACTCCCTCAAGGCTTTCCACATTGTCCTCCTCCCCATATGGGTTTTTCTCCTCAATTTCATAACTCACATCTCCCCATTCAGATAAAGATCCTGGTGGGAACTGAAATTCAACCTTTGCATCAGTTTCCACCTGTGTACCTTCCCCAATTTGCGTTTCTTGGAGTTTATCAATTCCTTGATAAATCATCTTCATTGCTTTTTTACCTCTTCCTCCACTAACTTTACCAGAAAGTGCATCATTAGGATTTTGGGTTTTAGCGAAATTGGCATCTTTCTTCTTTCTGGATTTGGATAAGTCCAAAAATTGATTAGGTTCAAGAAGAAGAGGACCCCTCATCCATGGAGCAGTAGGGCCTTTAATTCCTGAACTTGATGACCCATAATCTTGATTTTCAAATTCAAGATTGTATTGCTCCTCGTTCTTGATGGGATTATTATTATCATTGTATTGAGAGGAAAAGCTGGTAAATTTAGAATTGAAAGATTTGGAAAAGAGAAGAGTTTTTTGGTTGATAAAAGAATTGGAATGGTGATAACAGAGGGTATTCGAATTGGGAGCGAGAACCAAAGGAGCAGACATGGATATGTTGAATTCTTGATAGGAATTTGTTAAGCTCTTAGCCGTTGCCAAGTTTGTGAAGTCAAATTTTATCAACAAGAAAGAGGAAACAACACAAACACACTATTAAATAACTAATGCTGAACTGATTTTTTTAGCTTGCCTCCCTCTTTACATATTTGCATTTCGGTATATATATGAGTTTCATAATTTATATGTATATTCAAAATTAATTTCATCGGTGTATTTGATATTAATTTTATCTTGCGTATCTGATATCAATATCATTAATGTATTTTATATCAAATACTCTCTTAGTTCACTTTTACTTGTCACACTTTGATTTGACAAAGAAAATAATTATTGATATATGTATTTTATCAAATTATCCCCTATTAAATGATATCTTGAAAAATGATTTGAAAAATAAGTGCTGAATAATGAGGATAAAACATGGAAAAAAATATATTGTATTTTCTTGATATGTTAAAGATAACCAGTAAAAATGAAAAATTATTTTAGAAATAAGTGACAAGCAAATATATATTGATGGATTATTTAGCATATTCATGTATAGCAAGCAAAGCACATGCATATGAGATTGAGAATGTATATGTTTAGTATCAAAATCTCTGCTCGAAACATTCATTTGTGTGGTTTTCTATTTTCTGTAATGCACTTTTTTTTTTCTTTTTTTATTAACTTTTGACCATTACTACCAATATCAATTTATTATTTAAATATCACTTACAAATATTAAAATTCATCTAATCTTCTTATGAAGTTGGACGAAATTTTTCATTAATTTGAATAATATAAGTAGACAAGTTTTGATGACCTAATTAAACTGATCAAACATCATTGTGCTTCTAATATTAAACCCAAAGAAAATTACATTGTTACCTATGACATATAACATACTTATGTTGAGAAAATGAGCAAAATGGTCCTTAAAGTATGGGTATTGCTTTATTTTGGTCATCAATATCTTTCACTTATTTGAAATGGTCCTTAATGTATTACAAAATGTGTTTATTTTGATCTTTTATTTTAAATTTAACAGATTTGTCAAAAAAATAATATTAAATTTAACTATGGACCCTACGTGGCTGATAAAATTTATCGTTGTTGTCTTCTTTATTAGCTCCAAAGAAAATTTCATGAAATCTAACATTATTCTCTCTAATTTTTCTAACAAAAATTTAATATTTTCTCTTGCTAAAAATAAAAATGGTAGCTCAGTGAAATAATATTTTAGAAAATAGTAAATTTTTTCGGAAAAAGAGAGAAAATGGTCTTAGATTTTTTGGATTTTTTTCTTTAGAAATAACAAAGAAGACAACAATGTTGAATTTTGTTAGCCACGTTGGGTCCATAGTTAAATTTAATACTTTTTAAAGAAAAATAAATCTATTATATTTAGGTAAATGACCAAAATGAACCTATTTTATTATATATTAAGGATCATTTCAATCAATTGAAATACATTAATGACCGAAATGAACACATTTCTTATACATTAAGAACCATTTCAGTCAAGTAAAATACATTAAGGATCAAAATAAAGCATTACCCATATATTAAGGACCATTTTGATCATTTTATTTTCTCTACTTATGTTTGATATATAGATGCACTATATCGTTTACTAATATCTCTCGTAATTTCAAGTAACTTCACAAATGTTATTTTTTAAAAGTATCGGAGTTAATTTCTTTTATGGTGTATAAGAAAAATAATTAACTGTTTTCAGTTATTACATTTTCTTGTGATCAACAGGATGACTAAGAGTACCAAACATCCAGTCCATCCATATTGTGTAATGACCATAATTATGTCGATATGTTGTATGGTGTATGGTATGATAGCCAGCACCCATTACAGGCCACACCTTCCCATGTATGCAGTCATGAATATTAGCAGTCCATAAGGTATCCATGAATAAGAGCCCTATGTGTGTAGTGAAATGCATTGGCACAACGAATAGAGCTACGACGTGTGGCATCGCCTCCAGTACTCCATCCAGTGGGTGCAGTGCCATTCCTGACATGTTTTTCATTCTGAATTACAAAAAGAAAGAAATATGGATGGTATGTACGAGTACTAGAGTTGAGAGCTTACCAGCAAATGGGGAAAGTGTGTTTTGCTTGTTGTAAATATGATGTGTAGAATGCAGATATTTGTACAGAGGTTTTATGTCATGCATTAATTTGTGCATCCAATAGATTCCAAACTCAATTATTACAAGATAAATAGCCGTATTGATGAAGTAGGTAAGCCATCCAACATCACTTATTCTTGCAAAACATTTAGTCCATCCATTTTCAATTAAGTACTCAGAAAGTGATGGAAGGATACAGTGCCATGGCATAGCTTTCATGGCAACTGATATCTGCAACACCATTGCTTGCTTTGATAGTATGGCCTCATCTGCAATCAAAATGTTCATCAGCCTAAACCGAACCGAAACCGTATACTATATTTGGTTTGGTTTGATTTTCATTTTGACCAATAACCGATCCAAATCGACCCGTGAACATCCCTATATGTGACCCATTTTCTTACTCTTTACGTACTTCCAATATTGTAACACTCCCAGAAGCAGGACTGTCTTGACAAGTTTGGAGGCGTCTTATTTTTTTTAGTTGCACATAAATTAAATTATAATAACATATTCCATGTAATCCTACAAATGAGGTCTGAAGAGGTAGGATATACACGTACATTATGAAGTGAGAATGTAAACAATGTAAATTTTCAATGAAAAATATAGGGCAAATGCATAAGTACCCCCAATCTATGTCCGAAATCACAAAGACACACTTATACTTTACTAAGGTCCTATTACCCCCCCCCCCCAAACTTATTTTATAAATAATTTTCTACCCCTTTTCAGCCTACATGGCACCATCAACCAGATAGCTTGAAAAAATTGTCAACACGCGCTGGGCCCAGAAGATAGTGTCACGTAGGCCGAAAAGGGATAGAAAATTATTTATAAAATAAGTTTGGAGGGATAATAAGACCTTAGTATAGTATAAGTGTGTCTCTGAGATTTCAAGCATAGGTTGGGGGTACTTATGCATTTTCCCAAAAATATATAATATCAAGTTAGAATGATAAAACCTAACTCAAATTTTGAAAATTATATATATTGCTATCGAAATAGTGTTGTGCTAAATTTGTTAAGTTGATATAATGATATTAAAGTAGTATTGATTAGTTTTGAAATTTGAAGAAGACATCAAAAAAATAAAGTTGATTTTTTATAAACACACAACAATAGATTTTGCATGATGTAGAAATTTAACCGTTTGAGAGACTTTAGACAAGTGAAAGATGTATAAAAAAAGTAAATATATATAAAAATAATAATGTTGGTTCATGATAATCATTAGAATATAAATGAAACAACAAAATAGATATTCAAATAGAAAGGATGTTGCAATTAACTAAACACTATTCAATTGCTCAATTATTAATTACAAGATCTCTATATTAAATGAGGTAAAAATTATTATATTTTCTATCAAAAAAATATTTTCAAATTTATCAATACATTAGATTTATTTAAGGGAGAAGGCTCAACTATGTCATCGAACTTTGAAAAAAGACTCATTTATGTCATTCGTTAAAAATTTGGCTCATCTATGTCATTTTTGTTTGGGAAAATACTCATATCCATGCCATTATTTGTTAACTGAAATGATATAATTGAATCAAACTTTTAGCCGATGACGTATATGAGTTTTTTCTCAAAGTTCAATGGTATATTTGAACCTTTTCTCTTTAAAAAATTATTTAACTAATGGCGTGGCTGAATCATAATGGATCACGAGTAAAAAAAGATTTTGCAAAATAGAAACTATTTTTAATTAACAAAAAATGACATGAATGAACCTTTTTCTCAAATGCAAGTGGCATAAATGAGCCAAACTATTAACGGATAGCATAAATAAGCCTTTTATCAAACTTTTTTCGATAACATATTTGAGTCTTTACGCATTATATATATATATTTGGGAGAAAATCAGACCTTTGGGAATATAGAGATTGCGCTTCAAGTGATAGACGTAGAGGGAGCAGAGGGAAGTGGAGATGAAATAAATTAGAAGAGCGCCAATGTAGTTACGGAGCCATCCTTGAAGCAAGTGAGGAAGTGGTCCCCACCATGATTCCGGCAACAATGTACCTAAAACCAGACGATTGTAAAACGAAGTCTCCTCCACGAACACCTTCAAGTAATCCTCCATCTCCGATGGATTGCGTTTTACCAAACTCCGGCAGCGATGCTCCGCCGGAAGAGGAGGAACTATGGAGTGAGAGCTAGTGAGAAAAAGTGGGTCTACCGCGATATCACAATATGTGCATGTGTGACACTATTTAATAAAAATGAATTACTAATCTGTTTCAATTTATTTGACACATTTCATAGTTTATTTTTAACATTAATTATTTTTGAGAACCTAAAATGAAAATAATACGATAAGATAACCATGTAAAAGCGGTACAAACTTTTGACTCGAGAAAAATGACGTTGGAAAATTATTTTGACTCGAGAAAAATAGTTCAAACTTCTAAGCAATTCAATAAATGAAACTGAAAGTTAGAGAAATTTTAATAATAAAATATCGCCATGCAACTTTAATTAATATGAAGTACATACTATATATGATACTAGTACGTAGGATTTGGCAGATCTTTATAATAATTGTAGTATTGTATTCTGAGAAAAACAAAAGAGAAATAAGGTTGGATTAAAATGTAGGATATATTTAATTAATTTCAGATTGCATGGTCAATTTATTTCGATTAGGATATTATTAGGTTTAACAATGGAGTTGTACTAAATGAAATAGAGCGGGACAAGTTATTTTTTCCTATCAAAGTTTTGTTGAATGATTCAATATCTCGCCTCATTTTTATTAATTTTTCAAATTTTAAGTTTTCTTTATTAAATATTTTAACGGAGAGATATATACTCTAAAATATTTTTAATTTTTTCGTCAATTTTTAAGTATATATTATTTAATTTATAAAATTTTAAATTTTGTCTGAACCTTAATTTGAATTCATGTTAACATGCTTCATTAATCTCGCTATTATTGAGAGTCAATTAGCATTTAGTGATATGTTTTATTTTTTTTGTTTGACATATATTATTTATGTGAGGTTCAGATTAAAGTTAAAAATGTGTTTGGTCATAATTATAAAACGTATTTTCTTTCTTCTTTTTTTGAAAACACGAAACATGATTTGAATTTAAAATGTATATCAAATTACTTTGAGATCACATGGTTAAGAAAGACTAGAAATTAAAGGTAGTTTTTTCTTTTGGGCAGTCGTACCACAACTATATATTAGGTTGGGGATGCATGGAGCGGTACGAAATGAAATAGGGAGGGATAAACTACGTTTCCTATTGAAATTTTGTTGAACGGTTCAATAACTCACCTCATCTAATTTATTTTTCATACTTAAATTTCCTTTATTAAATATTTTACGGAGATACACTTTAAATATTTTTCAAATTTTTGTCACAGTGAAATATATATTATTTAATTTGTAAAAAAAATAAATTTTGTTAGTACCTTAGTTTTAAATTCACGTTATCATACTTCATTAATCTGGCTACTATTGAGAATCGACAAGCATTTGATGATAGATTTTAATTTTTCTGTTTGAAATATCTTATTTATATGAGGTTAGCAGTGAAGTTGAAAATGCATTTGGTGATAGTCCTAAAACGTACTTTTCTTCTTCTTTTTAGAAACACAACATGATTTGGATCAAACATGCATATTGAATTACTTAAAGATTTCATGGTCAATTTCTTTCAACTAGAAATAGTCATTTTTGGCAGCTAAACTACTAGTATATATTAGGGTTGGCAAATGAGCGGAACGAAATCAAATAGGGCAGGACAAGCTATTTTTTCCTATTGAGGACTATCTCGGTTCATTTTTACTTGTTCAATATTGTAAAAAGAAAAAAAAACAAGATCCTATGAATCAAAGTATTGACAGAAGGATATTTTTGGATCAAATTATAAACAAAGAACATTTTTATTTATTTTACATTATTTGAAAACAAAAAATTTGACCTTTTTCTATGATAAAAATAACTTTTCATTTTACTTGTTACTTTCGATTTTTATTTTTTTTTCATATTTTATTATTAACATTAATTATTTTTAGAACCTACAAATGTTAATTAATGGAAATAATACGATAAGATAACCACATAAAAGTGAAACAAATTTCTGGCTCAAGAAAAATGAGGCTGGAAAATTATTTTGACTCGAGAAAAATAGTTCAGACTTCTAAGCAATTCAATAAAATATAAATGAAACAGAAAGTTGAGAAATTTTAATAATAAAATATCGCCATGCAACTTTAGGTATGAAGTACACACTACTTACTAGTACGTAGGATTTGGGAGATCTTTATGATAATTGTACTACTGTATTATGAGAAGAAAAAAAAGAGAAATAAGGTTGGATCTAATTAAAATGTTGAAACACGTTATTTTTCCCTATTAAAATTTTGTTTAAACGATTCAATATCTTGCCTCAATTTATTTATTTTTCATATTTCAGTTTTCTTTTATTAAACAATTTGAGTTTCCTTTATTAAACATTTCAAGGAAGAGATACTTTAAAATATTTTTTAAATTTTCATCAATTTTAAATATATATTACTTATTTAATTTATAAAATTTTAAATTTTGTTAGAACCTTAATTTGAATTCATGTTAACATGCTTCATTAACCTGATTACTATTGAGAGTCAATAAGCATTTAATGATATGTGAGGTTGAGATTAAAGTTGAAAACACATTTCGGCATAGTCATAAAACGTATTTTCCTCCTCCTTTTTTTTGAAAACACAAAACATGATTGGATTTTAAATGTATATCAAATTATTTTGAGATCGCATGTTAATTCTTTTCGACTAGAAATTAAATGTAGTTTTTTTTTTTGGACAATTGTACCACAACTATTAGAGTTGACGATGGAGCGGCACGAAATGAAATAGGACGGGGACAAGCTATGTTTCGTATTGAAATTTTGTTGAATGGTTCAATGACTCACCTCATTTAATTTATTTTTCATACTTAAATTTTCTTTATTAAACATTTTACAGAGAGATGTTTTAAATATTTTTTCAGATTTTTGTCACAGTTAAATATATATATATATTATTTAATTTGTAAAAAAGTTAAATTTTGTTAGAACCTTAGTTTGACTTCACATTATCATACTTCATTAATCTGGAGAGTCGGCAATCATTTAATGATAGATTTTAATTTTTTTGTTTGAAATATCTTATTTATGTGAAGTTCCTAGTAAAGTTGAAAATGCATTTGGTCATAGTCCTAAAACATATATACTTTTCTTCTTCTTTTTAGAAACTCGTCGGGCTGTGTTGGTTACTGTAACAATGTGTTTGAAAAGGATGATGAGGATGAGCATCTAATGGTGATCTTCATCTTCTCCTTCCTATCCTTTTTAGTAACATCGAATAGAGTTCATATATATTAATTATGCCTATATATATGTTTGTTTGATGCCAAATAGAATAAGTATCAATTTAGCTTTCTTATAATTATGCTACCACTGATTGTTTGGTTTAGTTGAGAGGAATGGTTTGTTTTGATTAGCCAAATAGAACAAGTATCAACAATCAAACTTGCCTATTTTACACTGTTTTCTTATAATTTATAAAGCATATATTGTGAATGTGCACTAGTTCATCTAAATGGAATATATGCTCCTTGTTACTTTAATGTATTTTCCTTATTCAACTTTGAAATCCATGTTATATATATAGCTGTTAATTTCTCTCTTTATACACATATAGTACTCGAGATACAATTCATGAATTCTTCTATATCGAGAATGTGATCTAAATATGTTGTGTGTAGTTCTATCGACTCTAAAGTTTCTATCTCCTGTGTGTTATGGAAGGAAGCCTGTATTCGTTGCTGAAATGTCATCTATGCTTGCCTGTTCTGAAATCAGAATTATATGTGAGTTTAATTAAAAGCTGTTTATCAACCAAAAGACCCATTGGTTCTTAATACCAACCGATCGAGGGCCTGTTTAGGTGACAAGTAGCTTACCTTCGGGGTTGCTCTTTAGCATTCTCCAAAGAGCTAGGCTTGAATGAATGAAAGCTCATATCATAGCTTTTGTGCATCTTAAAATCTGTTATTTTACTATCTTTAGGTTCCTGTTTAATATGATAAAAGTTATTTTGAGTATAAAGACCCTTTTGTTCAAATATTCTCGAACATCAGCATGCCCGCTTGTTTCGAGTCAACCTCGTGAAAGGGAAGCTTAATATTATTGGATTAAAATCCAAGAAAATAGTGGCAGGCAGCAGCTCAAGAGTCAAGAGAGCTGAAAATGAGAACGCTTTGGGTCCAAACCCGATTATCCATGGAGCAGGGTGATAGCAGCAGCCCCAAAGGGCTAAGAAATATAACATTTTTTTGGACTTAAAAAGTTTGAGAATAATGCCGGTTGAGCGAGCTGATGCGGAAAGCTGAGATCAGCTTGAAATTGTCCGTTTTTCTATTTATATTCATCTTTTTCCTCGCATTTTAAATTTCATGATATTTGTTGCTAACTTTAATATTTTTGTCTTTTAATTAACTTAGATGAATCCCAATGGAAAATTATGGATTTTCAATGATTATGATTTTTATTTCACTATATCTAATTAACTCAAGTTCTATATATTCACCTTTCCAATTTTAAGTTCTAAAATTAAGTTAATTTGTCCTTTTAGGCAAATTTAAGCTTTAAAGACTAACTTGATAATTATCTAATATTCTCTCAAAATTAAAAATTAGCTTGAAATTCATGTTTATGAGTTTGAGTTAACCATATAGTTCAAAATCTTTGACTCAGATAAATTGTTACGCTAGAAATATTTTTTTCTATCCAACATAACATGGTGACAACGTTAAATACCTGTGAAACATTTAGCTTTCGTTATCTGATTACATTCAAGAGCTGTGGCATAAAGTTAGAAACTGAAATTTTCTTCCCCACAGAATTTATTGTGCTTATTATTAAATATAAGGGAAGAAAAGACATAAGAATACATAACCAAATTGTTTTCAGTCTACTACATCAAAATTTACATCCACCAACGATGGAAACACGAGACAAATTACTAGGACAATGAACAACAAGGAACATCCTTGATTGCAAATCATGCACATTACATTTTCTTGGCATCCTCTTCAACGGGATCACGAAGAGTTCCAAACATCCAGTCCATCCATATTGTGTAATGACCATAATTATGGCGGTATGTTGTATGGTGAATGGTATGATAGCCGGCACCCATTACAGGCCACACCTTACCATGTATGCAGTCATGAATATTAGCCGTCCATAAGGCTTCCACGAATATGAGCGCTATGTGTGTAGTGAAATGCATTGGCACCAAGAATAGAGCTACAACGTGTGGCACCGCCTGCAGTATTCCATCCAATGGGTGGAATGCCAATCCTGAATAGCACAACATGTTTAGCAATTAGCTTGAAAATGTACCAGAAAAGAAGCTACGACTCTCACTCTCAGAGGTCAAATTAGCTAGATAGAGTGTCAGAAAATTACAACACATAGGTGACACATACCAAACCATAAATTAACTGGACATCATGAATTAGCTAGCTTGCAATATTGTGATGATTTAGCAACCAATTTCCTAGAACAGGATATGCATTGCAAAGAGTTATAAAGAAAGTTCTGAATGTCAGAGATGATAGCATGGTTACAAGTTACAAAAGGTAGGGAGGAGAAGATAGGGAGGGCTTATGCTGCTGTGCGTTGGTTAGGGGCTGGTATGCAGAGAGAGTCGATTTAATAAACATGAATGCATGTTGTGGGTGTGAATCGAAGGGACAATGTCATTAGTTGTAACATACAGTCTTTTTCTCTTTGTGATGGAATTATAGGAAATGCCTTGTAGCAATTTTTCCGAATTTCCACATTCAGAGAAATTTGCTTAATATTTTTCTTTCCTCAATCCTATCACAAGTTCTAGTTTCCAACAAAATGAAAGGAGAAAATAAGAACAAAAAAGTTATCAAACGCTACTCCACTCTTTTCAAGTAAACTGAATTTGGCATACAGAAACAATTAAAAGGCAAGAGACAAAATTCCAATGTGTTCAGTTATTCCCTAGTCTAACCAAATACCTAAGTCGACACTCCTGACCACGAAACAAAAGGGTGCATGACTAAAGACATGGATGTTAAAATGTACATATTAATTTAATGTCCTCATGACTAGGTTTTCAACGTTTTTAGTCATCACACAGGAAACGCTCATTAATTCAACAAACAATCAATAGAGTATCTCAGAGAAACCTAATGGCTCCACGAGCTAGATGTTGTTTTCGGAAATAAGCACCAATATGGTATGACTAGACTTAAGAGCTTACCAGCAAACGGGGAAAGTGTGTTTTGCTTGTTGTAAATATGATGTGTAGCATGCAGATATTTGTACAGAGGTTTTATGTCATGCAACAACTTGTGCATCCAGTAGATTCCAAACTCCACTATTACGAGATAAATAGCCGCATTGATGATGTAGGTAGGCCATCCAACATCACTTATTCTCGCAAAACATTTGGTCCATCCGTTTTCAATCATGTACTCAGAAAGTGATGGAAGGGCACAGTACCACGGCATAGCTTTCATAGCAACTGATATTTGCAAGAGCATTGCTTCCTTTGATGGTATGGCATCTGCCATCAAAATGTACATCAGGAGAAAATACAAACCATTAATTACTCTTATCTTTATCGAAGCATGAAAAACTGGAATTGCTAAATTCATTGAGATATTGACATCCCTAGTTTGAACTAAGAGGGCCATCAATTAATACAAATATACACAATGATGTGGCCTACTGTCAATCAAGTGGGTTGACCATGATAAGGTCTCAGGTTCAAATACCAACAGAGACAAAACACTAGGTTATTTCTTCTCGTGTGTTCTAACCTTAGTGGACAGAGTTACTGATACCTGATAGTTCAGATCCACAGTAATTGTTCATACATATCAATAAAATGGGAATATGCATGCTTGGCCTTTTCTTACTCTTTACATACTTCAAATACAGTAACACCCAAAAAATGCCAAAATATTCAAATCTAAAGAATGAATATTCAGAAACCAACCTTCAAAAGCTTTACTAAAACAGTCAACTTAATTCCATGAACTTATAATTTTCAAATAATGCAAAGAAATCATCTATACACAAACGAAATTCAAAAAAAAAAAAGGGGAGAAAAAGGGGGGAAAAAATCATACCTTTGGGAATATAGACATTGCGTTTCAAGTGATAAATGTAGAAGCACCAGAGGAAACCGGAGATGAAGTAAAGTAAAACACCGCCAATGTAGTTACGGAGCCATCCTTGAAGCATATGAGGAAGTGGTCCCCACCATGATTCCGGCAAGAATGTACCCAAAACCATACGGTTGTAAAACGATGTCTCCTCCACGAACAGCTTCAAGTAATCCTCCATCTCCGACGGTATACTCGGAGAAAGAGAAATATATCCGGGTCGGGTCGGGTTTTACCAGACTCCGGCGGCGATGGTCCACCAGAAGAGGAGGAAGTATGGAGTGAGAAGATGGAGAGGAAAAAGAAGAGGGGCTAGGGCGGTAACACAACTGTATGTGGCTGTATTTAATGAAAATTGATTCCATCTTGGACTACTCCCACGTGTTGTCTGGTGAGCTAAACTGATAAAAGATTCTAATAAGATCGTCCCTCTTTATTTTTATTTGTTTAATATTTTAAAAATATAATTCAGATTTTATTGCTATTTTAAAAATAAAATAAGGTGAAAAATGTTGCAGGAAAATTGTTTTTGATATATTTTGGCTCTGAGAAAAATAGTTCAAACTTCAAAGTAATTCACTAAAAATAAATTAAACTGAAAGTCACAGAAATTTTGAAATTTTAAAATAAGCCTGCAATTATATCTTGGGTCAAAAAGAGATCGAGATAAATAAATTTTATGAACAAACAAATATCTGATTATTATTTTTTGAAAAATACTAAAATCTATGATTAAACGATATCCATGAGTTATTGGTCACACATCCAATTCAACTAACTTTGATTTTAGCTTGAGATTGTTTAATAACCAACCAATTCTTTTACTTACATTTAACGTTAATGCTATTAAGTGATTTTCATAAACAAATGTATTAAACTTTAAACTTTAACTAGATGAAAGTTTGTTTGTTTTTTTCCTTCAAACTTGTGTTGAACTAACCAGCCACTTGTTGCAATTGATGTCACAGTAATTAATTTTGAAGGGGGACACTCGACTACATAAAAAAAATTCAAAAATTAAATTTTGTCTGTCTTATTATATGGTTAAAAAAATATGGCCTTCATAAGTTTGGCCTATTCTACTTTGTCTTTTTTTTGGTTTCATTATCATCTCTGTGATTAATCATTGTGTGGTCTTTCTTCTTTTCCCCTCCGTTAATGTACATTCGTTCTATGAAAATAGTATCAAGAGATTATAGTTTAAACTTTAACGTAATATATATATATATATATATATATATATTATGAGATTGAATTTGGCAATTTATTATATTGAATTTTGTATCAGTCTAATGAAATAACATTTCTACATTTTACAAAATAAAAATTAAATAGTGTATACATTTTATTTTTTTCAGACTCAATTTATAAAATTATGTTAAATATATTATTATTGTATTATATTAAATTTAATATTTCTCATGTTAAATATGTCATTGATCGAAAACTACTTGTCAAATAAACATCTATTATTTTTGCGAAGATTGCAACTAGCTGGCCGGCCAAAGAGAATCAACTCTCTCTTTTTTTTTTGGCTGAGGGGCTATAAAATCACTCTCTCCGTTATTATTGTCCTTGTTTTTTAGCCTAAATTGTGGACATTTTTTGCCACAATGGGCCACTTGAAATGTTAGGTAGTTCAATCAATATAGCCAAAAAGTAAACGTGGTCTAATGTTTTTTTATAAAAAAATAAAATAAAAAATTCACCTCATATTTGAAGCTCGTATTGAAACCTGATTAAATTTGAGTTGCATATTGCAAAGATGACACTACTAATCTTTTCCTTTCTATCTTTTTGTTTTCTGTTTCTTCGTCCGTTGAATTCGTTATTAAATTTATTTAGAACTTAAATTTAATCTATTTCAATTGAATATTTTAAATATATGATTAAAAAAAGTATATTAAATATTTTAACTTCAATATTTTGAAATTTATGTGTGTTTTCACACGTTTATTAAATAGTTAAGTTAATCATTTATAATATATCACATCTTTTAATTATACGTATAAATCTCAGTAAGTATTAAAACGTTAAGCTTATTCCAATCAAAACTAACATGTATAATTAAAAGAAGTACTCCCTCCGTTTCACAAAGAATGACCTGGTTTGACTTGGCACGGAGTTTAAGTAAATAAAGAAGACTTTTGAATCTTGTGGTCCTAAATTAAAGTTATGACAAATGTACAAAATTGCCCTTAATCTTGTGGTCTTAAACATGCCACGTAGAAAGTAAAAAGTAAAATATTACCAAAAAAGGAAAGAAGTCATTCTTTTTGAAACTGACTAAAAAGGAAAGACGGTCATTCTTTGTGAAACGGAGGGAGTAACATATTTTATATAATTAACTTAATTATAATAAATACTTAAAAATATATTTTAATAAACATATTTTACTATGTATTTGGATACTCAATATTTATTTAAAATATATGTCATAGTTGGAACATGTATTAAACCTATATAATGTATCCCTCGGATTTTGTGTGCACGTGAAGGGAGTTGGGAGCAGGTTTTCCTTTTAATTAAAGGGAAAAGGGTCAAAAATACCCCTCAACTTTGG